ATACTTACATGACGATATATACACACAAAGGCCCCCCATATAGACTGTTAGGGCAAGTTATGTTTGCGAGCACCTATGAAGCCCGGAATGGCACACGAAGGGGTCGGTGGCCAGCACCACACCCAGTTGCTTTTGTCTCTCAAGTGGCGATGTTTGCACACCGCACCAGGTACTCATTTGAGGCTGAATCAACCTAGGGGAGGCCCAGGACCAGTTCAGGTAATCGTTACTGGTGTTGGCCGTGAGCGGGAATCAAACTCGGGTCGCTGGGTTCGTAGTGCAGCGCGTTAAACATGACACTACCGCTGCCGTGTATATACACACACATACACACTCGCAGATGACGTTGATAAGTGTCGTTAATGTCCATGATGATAACTCGATGTTGACGATGTCCATGATGATGATGATGTCATGGATAATGATGATGATGATATTGAAGTTGTCAATGATGGCGATGGTGTTTGCTATTTCCCAGGCTCAGATCCACCTGCTGCCCAACCCGCTGCTCTGGGTGTCGGGCTGCGTGTGCCTCCTCCTCTACTGCGCGTGCCTCGTCCGCTACCTCCTGCGCCGTCAGCGCGCCATCTCCGACCTACCTGCCGGTCAGCGCCGGGGCCAGCCCATAGGGGCCCGATCACACGCTCCGTGTGTCGCGTTGCGGGGAGAGGTGGCGCAGTGGTTAGCGCGCCGCGATTCGAGCCTACTCCACGCGGTTTACAAGAAACCCAGAGAAAATCAATATTCAGCGACGCATTGATCCGTGTGTGTACGTCTGGGGAGCGGTGGTGCGGCGGTTAGCGCTACGCTGCGCTTCGAACCCGGCGACCCGAGTTCGATTGCCGCTCACGGCCACCAACACCGGTGACGATTATCTGAACCGATCCTGGGCCTCCCTGTGGTCGACTCGGCTTCAAACGAGTACCCGGTGCCAGCGTTCATAGGTGCTTGCTCACAGCACTTGCGCCTCCAGTCTGTTAAGGCTATACGGGGGATCTTTGTTTCTGTGCATCGGGTGCAGCTGCGGTGTGATGGTTATCGTACTGCACTCGCGATCCAGAGGTCGCTGGTTCGATTCCTTAAATCCCCCCCCCCGTGCCACCTCTGTCCATTCTGTGTCTCTGCCTCTGTGTTATCAGTGCTGGGAGAGGTTTGTTCTGGCTGGGCCTGGGCCACTGGCTGTGTCTCTTGCCTCTGCATCTCCGCGTGTTTGTGTTTGTCTCTGTGTTTGTCTCTGTGTTTGTTTTTGTGTTTGTCTCTGTGTTTGTCTCTGTGTTTGTCTCTGTGGTTGTCTCTGTGTTTGTCTCTGTGTTTGTCTCTGTGTTTGTCTCTGTGTTTGTCTCTGTGTGTCTCTGCGTCGGTGCTATCAGAGTGCTGGGAGCGGTTCCTGCTGGCCGGCTGGCTGGGCCTGGGCGGCTGGGCGATGCACTTTGTGCCGTACCTGCTCACCGAGCGAGGCCTCTTCCTCTACCACTACCTCCCCGCGGCCACCTTCCACACGCTGCTCATCCCCGCACTGCTGGAGCACGCTCACACACACGTCGTCAGGTCTGAGCACTTACACACGCACGCACACACGCCCACCTCGTCAGGTCCTAGGACTTACGCATGTGTAATTAAGGTTGTTGAGGCGACTTCTGGAATCCGGTCTTTTATTCACTTTTCATTACAGCTCTCCTTCACGCTGCTGACAGGCAGCGTGAGAGGGATGGAGAGAGAGAGACGCGCAAACCACGTGGCAACTTGGAGCCCCGTTCTCGCGTGGCCTCCTCCATTAATTCCAGTTCTGACCACGTGTTGTTCGTCTCCACCCCTATTTAATACCCGGGTCACGTGGTATGTTACCACCAATCCTGGTTAGCCTCTATGGAATCTTCCAGACTCCATCGTAGGCTCCCGGGACCACGCCCCTGACTCATCTCCCCATTGGCTGTGGCCAAAGCCAGCAGAACCAATCCTCTACTTACAGCTGTCACCTTTCCAATACGTCAGGGCCATGCCTCTAGGCTTCCCCCCATTGGCTATGGATCAGGACCGGCAGAGCCAATCATCGTGACGAGTTGTGATATGTCAGTGAGCCGGATATATCCTCACATTACACATGCACGCACGCGCACACACGCTCACCTCGTCAGGTCGTAGCGCTTACACACACATACGCACACGTATGCACACGTACGCCCGCACGCACGGGAGATCTTTGTCTTGCGTCTCTGTGCTGCAGGTCCCTGGCTGGCCGGTACGCGCTGCTGGCTGGCTGCGTGGCGTGGCTGGCTACCGTCTACGCGAGCCACGTGCAGCTCGCCCCTCTCTCGATGGGCACCCCGGCGCTCTCTGCCCAGCAGCTCACCTCGCTGCGCTGGAGCGAGGGATGGGACTTCCTCGTGCACCCCACGCAATGACGTAGCACCCCACACTGCACACCACACCACACAGCACCCACATAGCGCACCACAACGCACACCACATAGCACCCACATAGCGCACCACACAGCACCCACACAGCACACCGCACCGCACACCACACACTGCACACCACACAGCACCCACACCGCACACCACACCGCACACCGCACACCACACAGCACCCCACACAGCACACCACATAACACACCACACAGCGCACCGTGATAAGCAGTGCACCACACTGCGATACACACACACGCAACAATGACAAGATCCCCCCCCCCCCCCTGTATTATAGCCTTAACAGACTGTTGGGGCAAGTGCTGTTAGCGAGAAGTTGTGAAGGCCGTGACGGCACACGAGGGGGTGGGTGGCCAGCACCACGCCCGACTGCATGTCTTCCCAGTGGCGATGTTTACACACCGCACCAGGTACTCATTTAAGGCCGAGTCGACCTAGGGAAGGCCCAGGACCAGTTCAGATAATCGTCACCGTTGGAGGCTATAATACACACAGGGTGACTCACTCACGCACCATGATGCAAACACAAAACTGCGACATCACTGACCGGGTGTCACTATAAAGGTCAGAGGGAAATTTAAATATCCTGGAGTGGCTGGCAAATAGGTCGACTTTGTAATAATACTGTGCAGAGGTTTGGAAGTGACTTTGGGAGTGGGGCAATTTAAATATGATTCATGACTGGGTGTGCTCACCGCGCGCACTTTGCAAGAATGCGAGTGGGTGGGGCTTTATTTTTTGGTAATTTAAATATTCATGAGCGGGGAGTGGCTGTAAAATGGGTACACTTTGTAATACTCGACTCAGGTTTGGAAGTGGCTTTGGGTGGGGTAATTTAAATATTGATGATTCGGGAGTGGCTGTCATACGAGGGTCCAAGTTTCTTAATGTGTACGAGTGGTGAGGATTGCATTAAATATATAATTTTTATGTCCATGAGCGAGCGTTGCTTTTTTGGCAGTGTCACCGCATCTTCGTGAGTGAGCGTGGCTGTCGTACTTGGGTGTAAAGTATACGTAGGATCAATGGGAACGTTTAGGGGCCGTCCATAAATGACGTCACGCACCTGGGGGGGGGGTCAGACATTTGTGACGAGGGGCGTGGTGAGAAATGTGACGTCACATCAAAATGCGCAACTTTAAATAAATATAGACAACACGTTCCACTGAATTAAATATACTTTTTAATGTTTTCTCCTACAACATCAGAGTGCAGCGGCACATTAAATACGCACTACAATGACAATAGTTTAAAGCGATTTAGAGCATTTTTTTATTGGGGGGGGGGAGGTAGAGATTTGTGACGTCATATTTGAGGGGGGGTCTGACTTTTTGTGACGCTGTGTGACGATGGAGAGGGGCGGTCAAAAATCGTCCAAAATCGCGTGACGTCATTTATGGACGGCCCCTTAGGCGAGTGTTTTATTGTTTTAGAGTTGTGGTTATGTTCGGGCTGGGGGTTGGTGTTGGTGGTTATTGGCAGGGGAGAGACTGGGGAGTTGGGGGGACGTGGTTTGCCAAGGAGAGAGACGGCACGGTGGGGGGGGATTGGAGAGTCTGGGAGAGAGCGAGACGAGAGAGGGGGTTGGGGAGTCTGGGAGAGGGGGGGTTGGAGAGAGGGGGGCAGGAGGGAGAAGGGGTTGGAGAGAGGGGGGCAGGAGGGAGAGGGGGGTTGGAGAGAGGGGGGCAGGAGGGAGAGGTGGGTTGGAGAGAGGCGGGCAGGAGGGAGAGGGGGGTTGGGGAGAGGGGGGCAGGAGGGAGAGGGGGTTGGGGAGAGGGGGGCAGGAGGGAGAGGGGGGTTGGAGAGAGGGGGGCAGGAGGGAGAGGGTGGTTGGTGAGAGGGGGGCAGGAGGGAGAGGGGGTTGGAGAGAGGGGGGCAGGAGGGAGAGGGGGGTTGGAGAGAGGGGGGCAGGAGGGAGAAGGGGGTTGGAGAGAGGGGGGCAGGAGGGAGAAGGGGTTGGAGAGAGGGGGGCAGGAGGAGAGGGGGGTTGGAGAGAGGGGGGGGCAGGAGGGAGAGGGGGGTTGGAGAGAGGGGGCAGGAGGGAGAGGGGGGTTGTAGAGAGGGGGGCAGGAGGGAGAGGGGGGGTTGGAGAGAGGGGGGCAGGAGGGAGAGGGGGGCAGGAGGGTAGAGGTGGGGGAGCGCAACCTGGAGAGAGTCCAGCCGTGAGGAGGGAGCGGAAAGTCTGTGAGAGATGGGAGGGAGGAGGGAGGTTGTGTTGGGGAGAAAGGGGTGTAGGGGAGAGGGGAGGGAGTGAACACGACGAGTGGAGGACGCACGCAGAGAGCTGCACAAAGAGGCTGAGTGGCGGGGAGCTGGGCAGAGGAAGGGGGTCGGGGGAGACGGCGAGAGATCTGGGAGCTCGGTTGGGAGAGAGGGGAGAGAGGGGAGAGTCGGGAGCCTCGGCTGGGAGGAAGGGGAGGAAGGGGAGAGGCGGTAGAGAGCCGGGACCGGGTGGAGGTGGAGGGGGGGAGCTGGGAGGGAAGGGGAGAGCGAAGAGAGAGAGAGTCGGGAGAGCTGGGAGAGGGAGCGGACGGGAGCAGGGACCCCTCTCCCCGAGCCGCAACTGCGTGGCCATGCCTCCCTCGCTCCACGCAATCCTCCTCCAGCTGCTGATCCCCCTCCTGCTGCTCCCATCGGGCTCGCGGACCCAGTGGCAGGGGGCTCAAGGGGATCAGGGGGCTCAAGGGGATCAGGGGGGTCAAGGGGCGGAGGGAGAGCCCTTGGTGCTGGTGGCTGTGATCGCGAGGAACGCGGCGCACAGCTTGCCCTACTGCCTAGGCGCGCTGGAGAGGCAGACGTACCCCCCGCGGAGACTCGCCTTCTGGTACACGGCGTGTACACACACACACACGCGTGTACACACACACGCGTGTACACACACACGCGTGTACACACACACGCGTGTACACACACACGCGTGTACACACACACGCGTGTACGCACACACACACAGTCGTAAACACACACGTGTACACACACACGCGTGTACACACACACACGCGTACACACACACAGTCGTACACACACACACGTGTGTACACACACACAGTCGTACACACACACGTGTACACACACACGCGTACACGCACACACACGTGTACACACACACATACCCGTACACACACACAGTCGTACACACACACACGTACACACACACGCGTACACACACAGTCGTACACACAGTCGTACACACACACAGTCGTACACACACAGTCGTACACGCATGTAAGTGTTCACGCTTGTGCAAAGACAAAGATCCACCCGTGTAGCCTGTAACGGACTGTTGGGCTCAGTGCTGTTAGCGAGTAGCAGCACACGCCGGGGTGGGTTGCCAACACCACGCCCGGCCGCCTTTGTCTTCCCAGTGGTGATGTTTACGCACCGCACCGGGTACTCATTTGCCTAGGGCACGCATCGTCCGTAGCCAGGGGGAATACTGGACGTGGTGTGCCGGGCAGATACGCACGGTGGGACGCACTGTCGTCATTGCGTGTCAATGCGTGTGTCGCGTGGGGAGCGGTGGCGCAGCGGTTAGCACGCTGCGCTACGAACCCGCCGACCCGAGTTCCATTCCGGAATATCTGCTAGCAGTCCTGGGCCTCGCCTAGGTCGACTCGGCCTTAAACTAGTAACCCGGTGCGGTGTGTAAACATCGTCACGAGGGAGACAAAGGCGGCCGGGCGTGGTGCTGGTCGTGCCGGCCTTCATGAGCGCTTCTCGCTAGCAGCACTTTTCCCTACAGGCTGTAAGCGGGGGGGGGGGGTCTTGGTGTGTCTGTGTGTGGCGGTATGAGCCGCAGCACGGATTCCCATGTCGGAATGTGGTCGTGGATTTCACGCGTGGGTGTCTGTGCCTGCAGCTGTGCGCGTTGTACGTGAGTGTCTGTCTGTATGAATGTTTGCATGTAGAGTCTTTGGCACAATTGGTGAGCGCGCTGCGCTCGGAACCCGGCGATCCGAGTTCGATTCACGTTCACGGCTGAATATTTGAACCGGGCTTGGGCCTCCCCCTAGGTATACTCGGCCCTAAATGAGTAGCTGGGCCAGTACGGCCGTGGGTTTGGCCATAAACCCTCTCGTACACCATGCAGGCCTTAAGCGCTTTCCTCTGACAAGCCCAACAGTATGTTGAAGTCTGTATGGGGGACCTTTTGCACAGTGGGAATTCTTAAATGAGTAACTGGTGCGGTGTGTAAGCATTCGAACTGGGGAGACAAACTTAATTTGGAGTTTTCGTGACTGCAGGAATTACTCTTTGGTTCTTTCGGTAAAGTCACGTATAAAGAGAAAATAATAAATTAAATATTAGTACTAGAAAATAATAAATAAAATACCTGTATTTAATTTATTATTTTCTCTTTATACGTAACTTTACTGGGGAGACAAAGGCGGCCGGGCCTGGTGTTTTCCACACCACCCCCACGTGTGCCTTGTCTACCTTCATAGGTGCCACTCGCTAACAGCCCTTGCCCTAACAGTCTGTTAAAGGCTATACGTGGGATCTTTGTCTTTATCGTTAGTGTTTGGTTGTGTGCATGAGTGTGTGTTTGTTGGGCTCGCCACGTTGCACGCGTGGTCACGTGGTCTTGTCCATGGCATCGCAACTTAGAACACTAAATACATGAATAACGATGATTATGAATAATTATATTATCATGCTTATTCCGAGATTGTTCGTGATAATTAAGTTTAATATGGTGATTATCATGGTGATAGCGATGTCGATAATGGTTGGAGATGATGATTGTGAACTTTTGATGTTGTTGGTGATGATGAATTTGATGGTATCGGTGAGCATTTTGATTATTTTGATCGTGATGCTGATGACGATAATGATCAGGTTTATCTACTTGGTTCTTTCGGTAAAGTCACGTAGAAGGGAAATAATAAAATAATAAAAATAAAACATTTAATAATTCTCAGAATTATTTTATTATGTTTTCTCAGAATTATTTTATTATGTTTTATTTTTATTCTTTTGTTATTTCCCTTCTACGTGACTTTACCGAAAGAACCAAGAAGATGAATCGATGCAGTCACGAAAGCTTTAAATCGAAATTTAATGATCAGGTTTCCGTGCCACCGAGGGTCACATACACACACCCTGTATATCCCATGTGGTGCCATATCTACATGTCCCCGTGTCCCCCGTGTCTCCGTGTCCCACGTCCCCCTTGTCCCCGTGTCCCTCGTGTCTCCGTGTCTCACGTCCCCCTTGTCCCCGTGTCCCTCGTGTCTCCGTGTCTCACGTCCCCCTTGTCCCCGTGTCCCCTCTCCAGGCTGTCCACAGACCACAACGAGGACGACACGAGCCGTGTGGTGCGGGAGTGGGCGGAGGGGGCGCGGAGCGTCTACCACAGCGTGGAGGTACGCGTGGACGACACGGACAGGTGAGACAACGCCGAGTCTCCGCCGGTCTCTCTACCTGTGCATACAGACAGGTGTATGTGTGTGAGTGTCTACCTAGGTCGACTCAGCCTCAAATGAGTACCTGGTGCGGTGTGTAAACATCGTCACTGGGGAGACAAAGGTGACCGGGCGTGGTGTTGGCCACCCACCCCCTCGTGTGCCACAGTGCCAGTCTTCATCGGTGCTCGCCAACGGCACTTACCCCAACAGTCTGTTAAGGGGCCGTCCATAAATGACGTCACACATTTGTGACGATGTGTGACGGGGGGGGGGGGTAAGAAATGTGACGTCACATCAAAATGCGCAACTTTAAATAAACATAGACAACACGTTCCACTTAATTAAATAGACTTTTTAATAAATGTTTTCTAATACATCATCAGAGTGCAGCGCCACATTAAATACGCACTACAATGACAATAGTTTAAAGCTATTTAAAGCATGTTTAATTTTTTGGGGGGGCAGAGCTTTGTGACCTCATATTTGAGGGGGGGGGGGGTCTGACTTTTTGTGACGCCGTGTGACAAAGTTCAAAGTTCATTTATTAGGTATAGCCCTGTGAGCCATTCGGCTCTTGAATCGGATGCAACCGCAACAAACAAAAACATGAACAAGAAAACATCTTAAAGTGACTATGTGACTAAGTGCAAACAGAAAATCCAAGAAAAGACAGCAAAATATTGCAGAAAAAGCACCGTACACCAACACTGTGTGCAAATATCCCAGTGGGATGCAAGTCAAACAACAACAACCACAAGACAATTTAGATTAAGGCCATCAGTCTAACTCCGCACTACAACAAACAAACATGGCCAAACCAAAAAACTTTTCGAAAATCAGAGGGGGGCGGGTCAAAAATCGTCCAAAATCGCGTGACGTCATTTATGGACGGCCCCATTGTCTGTGTGTGTGGTACAGCGCCTACCCCGGCGAGAAGGGCTGCAAGCACTGGCCACGTGATCGCTTCCAGCGTGTGCTCAGCCTGCGCCAGGAGGCGCTCGACTCGGCCAGGAGCCTGGGAGCAGACTTCGTGTTCGTGAGTGTGACGCACGCACACCTACAAAGACACAGACCCCCCGTGTAGCCTCAGCAGGCTGTTGGGGAAAGTGCTGTTCGCGAGCACCTATGAAGGCCGGCACGGCACGAGAGTGGGAGGGTGGACAGCAGCATGCCCGGCTGCGTGGTGCTGGGTGCATGCACCTGAGACACAGCCTCGGCTCCTGCTCCCATTCATGCCCCTGCCCCGCCCCCCGTCCCCCCCTGTCCCCCCCCGCCCCCCCCGGTAGCTGGTGGATGCGGACGTGGTGCTGTGGAACCCCTCCACGCTGGGGGTCCTGGTGGGGGAGCGGCGGGCCGTGGTGGGGCCCATGCTGACGTCACGCACCGCCTACTCCAACTACTGGAGCGGCATCACCGACAAGGTGAGCGCCGTCGCCAACGTCATCATCATCATCGACATCGTCGTCATCATTAACATCATAATCGTCAACATTATCCTCAACAGCATCACCATCATTTCCAACGTCGTCATCATAAACATCGTCATCATCATCACCGTCGTCGTCATCAACATCAGCGGCTGGAACCCAGACTGGAACCCGGACTGGAACCCAGACTGGAACCCGGACTGGAACCCAGACTGGAACCCGGACTGGAACCCGGACTGGAACCCAGGCTGTCAGCGGTGTGGGCTCCGACCTCCGACCTGCGAGCCCCCCACTGCACCCACCGTAGCCTCACCCCAGCCCCCCACTCTCCGTGCCCCCCGCCCCCCCTTTCCAGGGCTACTACCGCCGCACGGCCGAGTACCTGCAGCTGCGGGAGCGGCGGCGCCGCGGTTGCCACCGCGTGCCGATGCTGCACTCGGCGCTGCTCCTGCACGTGGGAGAGGCTGACGCGGGGGCGCTGGCGTTCCACCCGCCCCCCCCGGACTACAGCTGGCCCTACGATGACGTCATCGTGTTCGCTCACTCGTGCATGCGCGCAGGTGGGCGGGGGGGGTTCTTCGTACTTCAGAGTTCCTGACTCTTTGCTCACAATCATTAAGGCCCTTCATGATGGTGGGCTGGCCCGGGTAAAGCTACGTGGCCAGGAGTCGGAGCCATTCCCTGTTCACCTTGGGGTGCGACAGGGATGTCCTCTGGCTTCCACATTAGTTAACATCATCTTTGACCACGTAGTTTGAGAAGCTTTCCATGGCTGTACCGGAGGACTTTACATCTGGTACAGATACAACGGGAGACTGATTGATGCCCGGGTGCGGTCGAGGGGTGGTTCTCTATTGGTCAACCACGTTATGTATGCCGATGATCTGGTAATTGCTGCTCACTCAGAGGAGGAGTTGGAGGCGTTGTTGCTGAACCTGGAGAGTGCCACTAAGAGGTGGGGCCTTACCATCAGTCCCACCAAAACTAAGCACCTGCCTGGGTATTTTATGCCATCAAACACTCCACCCCCTCAGCTCCCCATTGGTGATGGAGCAGTTGTGGAGAGAGTGGAAAGTTTTCCATATCTGGGCAGTGTGCTCATGACCAGCTCCGGTTTGACAGCAGAGGTCTCACTCTGAATCAGTCGAGCAGCATTATCTTTTCATCGGCTGCGCAATACTGTGTGCAAGCTACCTGGTCTGTTGCTTCGCACAAAGCTTTGGATCTTCTCGGCCACAGTAATGCCCTCCCTTCTCTATGCTTGTGAAACGTGGACCTCTCTGGTGGAACATCTCCGCCAGTTAGAAACATTCAGACTGGCCTGCCTATGATCCATCCTGGGTTTAACCAAGCTGGATTGTGTGAGGAGCTCACATTCTTTAAAGATTTGGACACAGTCCCATTAGTGAGCTCTTCCGGCAGGCAAGGCTGTTAGCTGGGCCATGTAGACCGCATGCTCAGCCAACTCATGTCCAAGCAGCTTCTGTTTGGCCACATAGAGGAAGCTAAATGGGCACGGCACGGGTTGGAGAAGAGATGGACTGATGCGGTACGGGAGCTGATTGAACTTGGTACCAGCAGTATCAAGATCGGCCTCTGGAGGAGGCTTGTTAAGGACGCTACTGGGCAGTAGGAGGCAGTCGCCCTCCAACATCAACTGAGGGCAGAGGAGCGATGCTCACAACAACGAGTGGAGTGTCGGGCGGATAAAGTCCAGCAAGTTGGTACAGTCGGAGGTACAGCTGGTGCATCTACCAGTCATCTCAGTCAGCTAACCCATGGCACCTGCTGGGTCTGTCCCGAGACCTCCTGTCAGCGAGCCTTCGACACTTCACGTGGCCTCAAAGTGCACCTGGCTTGGCAGAGGCGCCATAGTAATGTCACCATCAATTAGTGATGAATGGCGGGTCTTGGTATATGTCCACGTGTCCATAATACAGGTTTTTTTTGGGTTAGATCGCGTAAATATAAAATCGTGTCGTTAAACAAATGTACAAACAAATTCCACGTGTGTGTTTGTGTATAGGTAGGTGCTCGCTAACAGAACTTACCCCAACAGTCTGTTAAGACTATATGGGGGATCTTTGTCTTCATATAATTATCTGTGTGTAACTGTGTATGCGGTGAGTGGTGGCGCAGCGGTTAGCGCGCTGCGCTACGAACCCGGCGACCCAAGTGCCGATTCCCACTCACGGCCAACACCGGTGACGAATATCTGAACCGGTCCCGGGCCTCCGCTAGGTCGACTCGGCCTCAAACGAGTACGTGACAAGGGCGGCCGGGCGTTGGTTGTTGGTCACCCTGCCCCCCCTGCGCGCGTTGTAGCTGCATTCGCAGGCGCTGCCCGCTAACTGCACTTGCCCCGACAGCCTGCGCGAAGCTACCCGGGGCCCTTTGTCTTTGCAGGCGTGGCCATGCACGTGTGTAACTCGGAGGAGTATGGCCACGTCCCCGTGCCTCTCAAGCCCTCGCAGGGAATGCAGGAGGAGAGGGCCTCCTTCCAGCACCTGCTGCTGGAGATCATGGGTACGAGCTTCCCCTCGTCGCCACCGTGCGTGTGCGTGGAGCGGAACGTCGGACACCGCGCCCTAGCGGCGCGCGGAACGGCCCCGGAACGCGTGCCGAGTGCCACGCAGTAGCAGCGGAAACTCGGCACGTGCAGCAACTCTGACTGTGACTGTGTGCGTGACTGTGTGCGTGACTGTGACTGTGTGCGTGACTGGCTGTGTGTGAACGTGTACGTGACTGTGACTGTGTGCGTGACTGTGAGTGTGTACGCGACTGACTGTACGTGACTGTGTGCGTGACTGTGTGTGTACGTGACTGACTGTGCATGAACGTGTACGTGACTGTGTGTGTGTACATGACTGTGTGCGTGACTGTGTACGTGACTGACTGTGCGTGTGCGTGACTGTGTGCATCACAGTCGATCAGCCACCGCCCACTCCGTCTCCCTTCATCTCCATGCCACCCAAGCACGCGGACAAGATGGGATTTGATGAGGTGAGGAACACGGCCACACGGGAACACGGACACACCGACACACAAGCACACGGACACACCAACACACACAAGCACACACAAGCACACGGACACACCGACACACAAGCACACAGACACACAAGCACACAAGCACACGGACACACCGACACACAAGCACACAGACACGCAAGCACACAGACACAAGGACACACTGACACACAAGCACATGGACACACGGACACACAAGCACGCACAAGCACACGGACACACCGACACCCGCGTGCCAGTGTGTTCCATGCGTGCCCATGTGTACCCACGCGTGTGTGTACTTGCATGCCCGTGTGTGTACCCACGCGTGTGTGTGTCAGTGTGCGTGTGTGTACCCACGCGTGTGTGTGTGTGTGTACCTGTGTAGGTGTTCCTGATTAACCTCCAGCGTCGTCCCGAGCGCCGTGCCCGCATGCTGCACTCGCTGGGCGAGCTCCAGATCGACGCCAGCGTCGTCGACGGCGTGGACGGAGCGTGGGTCGCCCCTCCCCCCTCTCCCTCTCTCCCTCCCCTCTCCCCCCCCCTCTTCCCCCCTCTCCCCCCCCTCTCCCCCCCTCTCTCTCCCCCCCCTCTCTCCCCCCCCTCTCTCTCCCCTGAACCCTGAGGGCGGGAGATATACGTGATTGAGAAATGGAGGAAAAGATGATGGATGAGTGAGTGACTGAGGTAGGGAGATTCGTGAGTGAGTGGATGATATGTGTGAGAGTACGCTATGTGTGCGTGCACACTTTGTATGTGTGTGTGTGTATGCTGTGTGTGTGTGTATGCTGTGTGTATGCTGTGTGCGTGCATGCTGTGTGCGTGCATGCTGTGTGCGTGCATGCTGTGTGCGTGCATGCTGTGTGTGTGTATGCTGTGTGTGTGCGCGCTATGATGCCGCCTGCTGTGTGCGTGTGTGCTGTGTGCGTGTATGCTGTGTGTGTGTATGCTGTGTGTGTGCGCGCTATGATGCCGCCTGCTGTGTGCGTGTATGCTGTGTGCGTGTGTGCTGTGTGTGTGTATGCTGTGCGTGTATGCTGTGTGTGTGTGTATGCTGTGTGTGTGCGCGCTATGATGCTGCCTGCTGTGTGCGTGTATGCTGTGTGCGTGTGTGCTGTGTGTGTGTATGCTGTGTGTGTGTATGCTGTGTGTGTGTGTATGCTGTGTGCGTGCATGCTGTGTGTGTGTATGCTGTGTGTGTGCACGCTATGATGCCGCCTGCTGTGTGCGTGTATGCTGTGTGCGTGCATGCTGTGTGCGTGCATGCTGTGTGTGTGTATGCTGTGTGCGTGCATGCTGTGTGCGTGCATGCTGTGTGTGTGTATGCTGTGTGCGTGCATGCTGTGTGCGTGCATGCTGTGTGCGTGCATGCTGTGTGTGTGCGCGCTATGATGCCGCCTGCTGTGTGCGTGCGAGCAGCACGCTGAGCGACGAGGCGCTGCGGGCCATGGGGGTGGCGATGCTGCCCGGCTACTGGGAGCCGTACTCCGGCCGGCGGCTGCTGACGCGCGGCGAGATCGGCTGCTTCCTGAGCCACCACCGCGTGTGGGAGCAGGTGACCCCACGCGTGACCCCACGGGAGCCCCAACCCTTGCGCTGGTGCCCTCACGCCAGCCTTAGCCCTGACTCCGTGGTGCGTGTGTCACCCCATAGCGTCGTCTAACGTGCGTGCCGTCCCTACCCCTGTCCCCCCACCCAGGTGGTGTCCCGGGGCCTGAGCTCCGTGCTGCTCTTTGAGGACGACTGCCGCTTCGAGCAGAACTTCCGCCACCGCTTGGAGCTCACGATGGCCGAGGTTTCGGCGCAGGGGCTGCAGTGGGACCTCATGTGCGTGGTCAACTGACCCCCCCCAACACCGTCGCTCCCCGGTCATCGGCATCATCATCATCGTCGTCGTCGTCATAATCATCGCCTGTCTTAACCGTACAAGCATTACCAGCACTTGCCCCGACAGTCTGCTAAAGGCTACGCAGGTGACCTCTGTCTTTGTCTGTGCCCCACCCCCTCCCGTTCACGGCTGGCGGCCGCAGCTACGTGGGGCGCAAGCGCATGCAGGTGGAGCGCCCCGAGGCGGCGGTGCCGGGCGTGCGGGCCCTGGTGGTGCCCGACTACTCCTACTGGACGCTGAGCTACGCGCTGTCGCTGCGCGGCGCGCAGAAGCTGCTGCTGGCGCAGCCCCTCAGCCGCATGGTGCCCGTGGACGAGTTCCTGCCCGTCATGTACGACAAGCACCCCACGTGAGTGACTCACCTACCCGTCACGTGGTACAAACACCCCACGTGAGTGACTCACCTACCCGCCACGTGGTACAAACACCCCACATGAGTGACTCACCTACCCGTCACGTGGTACAAACACCCCTCGTGAGTGACTCGGCTACCCGCCACGTGGTACAAACACCCCACGTGACTCACTTACCTACCGCGTCTCCGCCTGTACTACCCGTGTGCCCCCACCCCCCACTGCGCGTGCCCCCCAGGAGGGAGTACTGCGCCCCGTTCTCCCCGCGCGACCTGCTCGCGTTCTCGCTGGAGCCGCTGCTCGTCTACCCGTCGCACTACGCGGGCCAGGCGCTCTACGTCAGCGACACCGAGGCCTCCGCGCTCTGGGGCGACGGCGGTGGCGGCAGCGGTGACCAGGCGGGGTCGCTGGGGTCGCTGGGGTCGCTGGCGGGGGGGGCCCGGGGCGCCAAGGGGGCCCGGGGTGCGAGGGGGTCGGGCGTCGTGGGGGTCGCCGCCTCCCGGGACGAGCTCTAGCGGACAGCGGCCGCGACGACGCTCGATGAGGGGCGTTCTTGGCCTGCTCTTCCACCGGGGGGCGCGGACGTTGTCACGGACCTGTGGATCGCAGACGAACTGCGGTGGATATCGTCTGTGCTGCTGCTGCTGGGTGGGCAGAGGTTGGGGGGGGGGGGGGCAGGGGGTGAGCAGAATGGGGGGGGGGGGGGGAGGAGGATTTAATAATCTCGCCCACCACCTTTCAACTGCCACGCCGGGAGATGGAATCAAACCGTTGACCTCTGGGGGGTCACGGCCCCAGCTGCGCTGCTACTGCTGACCACTGCACCACACGGCGGCGTCGTCGTCGTCCCAGCTTATTGTAGCGCGCACAGCCTCAGCTGCGCCCGCCCGGGTCCGTGACCCGGCACACCACGTCCAGTATACCGCTGCTCGCCGTAGCCGGGTGCTGGCGGTGGCTGTGCTCTGGAACTGTGGAGGCAGTAGCAAAGGTTGGTGGATCATCCACAAGTCCTGCGAAACTCCCTTCTTACCCTGGATGGGTGTCAACGAGGAGCCCGTATCCTGGCTCTGCCAAGAGAAGGCGGTCCAGCAAAGTGTGGACTCCACCCGCTCCATGTGCATGGGGATCGTGTGTGTTGTCGCCCCCTCACACGAGTGGGTTTCATCGGACGATAGCTCCTCACGATGTGAAGAGGACCACAGAGCTCGGCGGGAAATCGTTGGTAGCGCCGGCGGCTTCTCACCACCGCGTGGCTGCTGCTGCTGGTGCTACTGCTGGTGCTACTGCTGCTGCTGCTACTGCTGGTGCTGCTGCTACTGCTGCTACTGCTGCTGCTGCTACTGCTGCTGCTACTGCTGCTGCTACTGGTGCTGCTGCTGCTGCTGCTACTGCTGCTACTGCTGCTGCTACTGCTGCTGCTGCTACTGCTGCTGCTACTGCTGGTGCTGCTGCTACTGCTGGTGCTGCTGCTGCTGCTCCTGCTGCTGCTTCTCCTGCTGCTCCTGCTGCTGCTCCTGCTGCTACTGCTGCTACTGCTGCTGCCTTCCCGCTCCTCGTCTGTGGTTCCTCCTCCTGGCGTCTCCCGAGTCGTCCCCTCTCTCTGAGTCGCCCCCCGTGGCCGCCTCCTGTGGCCGCCCCACCAGGCAACCGTTGTTCATTTGTCCGCCGCGTGTGGTGAATGTTTCGCGGTGAGAAACGGTCACGCGTTGGCGGCCATTGCCGAATTAAAGTCGCCGTCGTGCGGAGCCGCGACCCGACCCGACCCCGTCCTGGAGTTCGCTTTCATTTCTCTGGCGTCTGATTGGTCGTAGCGAGTGCGCACGCGTGAACAGGGGTCAAGGACAGTCATCGTTCTCAAAAACCTTCCGCTGTATGCATGTTGAACTTCTTCTGCACCGTACGTAGCCAAACAATTGGTGGGGCAAGGTTGTCGTCAGCTCAACATGACCTCTCGCCGTGCGTGGAGCCGCAGGAAAGCCTCGAGTCTCAAGAGCCTCTTTTCAGGAGGGTCTTGCCAAGTTCTCGCAGTAGGGAGGGGGGTGATCTTGCTGCTACTGTGCGGGGGTCACACGTCGAGTGACTTGCAGGGGATCTTCAGCAGTGACTGGGATGTTTTTGACCATCACAGGTTTCACGCTGTGGGTGGGTGGGCGGGTAACTTTTAGCGACGGAAGTCAAAACGGAGAGCCCGGAGGAAACCCATGCAGAACAGGGGGAGAGAACATACAAACTGCGCACACAGACTGTTGGGGCAAGTGCCCTTAGCGAACGGCACTTCTGTGGGCCGGAATGGGACGCGGCATGGATGGATGACCAGCAGCGCAGAGTGGCCTTTCACTTTCATGGTGGAGGCCCAGGACCAGTTGAGATATTCGCCGGCTATTGGAATTGTGATCGCGAATCGAACTCTAGTCAGAGGGTTCGTAGCGCTGTGCGTTGACCGCAGTGCCACCGCTCACTCATCACACACGCGCACGCACACACACACGCGCACGCACACACACACGCGCACGCACACACACACTGGTCGGCCAAAATTGCGTGGAGATTTATTCCCGTAAACTGGGGCCTCGTTACAGATCAGGCATTCACATGATATAGGAGACCGTGTAACGTTGTGCGGGTGTGTGTGCGGGTGTGTGTACGTGTACAGCATGCGCGGGTGTGTAAACCTGTGGTGTGTGTTGACACACACTCACACACAACCCCTTGTGTTAGTCCACCCACACCGACACACACACACAGGTCCCCCATGTAGCCTCTACAGACTGTTGGGGCAAGCGATGTTAACGAGCGACTTATGGAGGCCGACACGGCACAGGAGGGGGGGGTATTGTGGCCAGCATTATACACGGCCGCCTTTGTCTCCCCCAGTGCTGACGTGTGCACGCTGCACCAGGCACTCGTTTAAGGCCGAGTCGACCTAGGGGGGGTAAAGCCTTGAGCCGGGTGCAAATGTCACTCGCTGACCTTGTCAGCTGTGGTCCGGGAATTGAACTCGGTTCGCTCATATCGTAGTGCAGTGCGCTAACCGGTGCGCCACCGCTCCCCAACACACTGACACGCACGGAAACGCTCGGACAAATTCATACCGTCTCCCACACGCGGAGCGTTTGAATTAAAAGAGATTGCAGATCATACAAAGTCACATGCAGACTCACACGGACACTCGCAGATACACACACTCACCCAGACATGTGCACACACACACAAACCCAGAGTCACACATACACACATTTAACTATGGAATGATGAGAATCCACTTTGTGACAGACAGACACCCAATACAAGGACACACGGGAGCACGGACACACACCCTACACACCGACACTTACACTCCGTTACAGCCACAGACAACACCCCTCGGAGACCGCCACTCTCTCACCCCACCATGGCTCCATCCCCTCCATCACTCGCCCATCACTCCCATCCTCTCCCCGCGAACATCACGGCCATCGATACTCCTCTCCCCATTCACGGGCATCCTCCTCGCATCACCCCAGCACCTCCCCCCCCACCCTCACATCCCCCCCCACACTGCCGCATTACTCGAACGCGGCGATGAGCACCATCATGGCGACGCCGGTGAGCATGGCGACGAGCTGTCGGGCGGACTGAGCGAGGGGCGCGGCTCGGCCCAGCAGCTCGGGCAGGATGGAGACGGTGGCGATGTAGATGAAGCCGCCCGCAGTGAAGGGCAGCACCCACGCAGAGGCCGCCTCGCCAGCCCCTTCCGCCAGCAGCGAGCACGCCGTGCCCGCCAGGGCGCCCACCGCCGTCAACAGCTGCAGCCACATGGCCTGCGTGGGGGTGCGGTGGGGGGGGGAGATGTCATCGTCGTCAACTTCGTCATCGTTGTTATAACCGTGGTTATCGTCATCGTCGTCATCAGCAGCATCATTCGTTATTATCATCATCAGTTTAACGTGTAGTCGGCTTTCGCGGCCGATGTCATTAATAATAAAGGTTGTTGGGTTAATCTTGATTTGAGGCTTTCGTGACAGCAGGAATCCGTACTCTTTGGTTCTTTCGGTAAAGTCACGTGGGTAGAAAATAAAATAAATCACGACGTTTCGATCGTGTAAGTATAAATGTGTCGTAAACCTCCACCACCCGACACAGCCAATTAGTAAGGGATTTGGCACGTAAACAAAACCTACCGCTATTATGGCAAATCGCCCAGTAATGCTGGATGTAATTACCAGCGAAACGTTATTGAACTCAAATTGTAAACGTAGATTTACTCTCCAACATCGGTGGGCTGAAGTAGTCACCAATTTGTGTGTTGTTTACGTGACAAATCCCTTACTAATTGGCTGTGTCGGGTGGTGGAGGGTTACGACACATTTATACTTACGGGATCTAACCTAAAAATCTTTATTATTTATGTCATCATCATCGTCCTCCCTGACTTGCTTCTTGGAGCCCACCATCACTCGCACACTCGTGCAGAGACAAAGGTCCCCCCTCCCCATATAACCTTCACACACTGGTGGGGCAAGTGCTGTTCGCGAGCAGCAGAACCTATGAAGGCCCTGCGCGGCACAGGAGGGGTTGGGTGGCCAGGACCACGCCCGGCCGCCTTTGTCTCCCCAGAGGCGATGTTTACTACACACCGCACCACGCAGTCGACCTAGGGGAGGCCCAGGAACTGCTCAACCCCCCCCCCCCCCGTCCCTCCCCACCCCTCCCACCTGTCTCTTGGTGCAGCCCGACTGCAGGAGGATGGCGAAGTCGCCGATCTCGTGGGGGATCTCGTGCAGCAGGATGGTGAGCGTCGTCACCACGCCCACGTTGGGCCCCACCAGGAAGGAGGCCCCGATCGCCAGGCCGTCCGTGAAGTTGTGCGTCACGTCCGCTGCCAGGTTCAGGTAGCCAGACACCTGCAGCTCTCCTGGAGACGCGGGCGAGACGCGGGGGACAAAGTTCAAGCAGCTGGACACGTGTGGTTCTCCTTACACGCACGCGGACACATTGGGACACACGGACACACACGCAGACACACACGCAGACACACGGGGGGACACAGGGACACACGGACACACACGCAGACACACGGGGACTCGGCAAAATTATGACCCTGGAAGACATTAGAAAACAGGTACATGGGGAAACATGGGAACTGATGACACAGACATAGGGTCACGGAGTCAGAACCACAAGGACACCGACACACAGGGACACGGAGACACACGCGTCACTCACGTTTGGGCTCCTCCTCCCTCTTCTCAGCCCCTCCCTCCTGGGCCCCCCCCTGGCCCCCGTCTGCAGGAGCCACCTCCCCCTCCTGGGGGCTGGCTGGGTCCGGGCGTCTCCTCCGCACCCCCTCCACCTCCCCTCCACCACCTCCTCCCCCTCCACCACCTCCTCCCCCTCCACCACCTCCCCGTCCCCTTTATCCGATTTCTTCGCTCCCTTCTCTCGTTTCTCGACTGCGCGCCGCACACACAAAGACAAAGGTCCCCTGTGTAGCCCGCGCAGGCGGTTGGGGCAAGTGCTGTCAGCGAGTAACACGGCACACGACGACGTGGGAGGGTGTCCAGCACCACTCCAAGGCCACATACCTTTGTCTCCCCCAGTGTTGATGTTTACACGCCGGAACATGTACTCATTTAAGGCTGAGTCGATCTAGGGGCAGGCCCTGGACCGGTTCAGACAGTCGCCACCGATGTCGACTACTGGACATCTGTGAAAAAGAGCTTCATAGCTCATCGGATTCCTCCAGTATCAATAAATGTTCTCATTCTGACCGTGAGAGGGAATCGAGTTCGGGTCGCCAGGTTTGTAGCGCACCGTGCCAACAACTGCGCCACCACTTCCCAACTTACACTCGGACGTACACACACGCACACACACGCGCACACATGCACACACACGCACGCACACACACGCACGCGCACGCACGCGCACATACGCACGCACACACACGCACGCACACGCACGCGCACACACGCACACACACACACACGCACGCACACACACACACGCACGCACGCACGCACACACACGCACGCACGCACACACACGCACACACACACACGCACGCACACACGCACGCACGCACACACACGCACACACACACACGCACGCACACACGTGCGCACGCACACACGCACACACACACGCACACACGTGTGGATTCGTGATCTCACACTTCGTCCGGGACTATGCCTTGCAAAGACGATGACAGTGAACACGCCTATGCCGTGGCTATACCCGTGTCTGTGACTATAAGCACCGCGACTGCTCTCCCGTGACTGACAGTGACTCACCGTGAGCGTGACCGTGACTGTGGCCGTGTCCATGGCTCCCTTTGATGTGTCTCACGAACATCTCCACGGAGAGGAAGACGATGATTCCGCACAGAACCCAGAGGCCCACGGACATGAGGTGCGAGCCAGGGCCTGCAAACAAAGACAATGACCCCCCCCACCCGTGTAGCCTTAACAGACTGTTGGGGCAAGTGCTGTTAGCGAGTAGCACCTATGAAGACCGGCACGGCGCACGAAGGGGTGGGTGGCCAACACCATATTCGCCCGGCCGCCTTTGTTTCCCCAGTGGCGATGTTTACACACCGCACCGGGTACTTAGGTGTGGCCCAGCATCATTTCAGATAAACATCACTGGTGTTGGCCGTGAGTGGGAATTCAACTCAGGTTGCCGGGTTCGTAGCGCAGTGCGCTCACCACTGCGTCACCGCTTCCCGCACACACAGATACACACACAAGGCAAAGACACACACGGACAACAACAGCAACAACAACAGACGCCATTCGCCATTAAGTGGTGCCAGGCTAGGTGCACCTCGAAGGCCACGTGGAGTGTGGAAGGGGCTCGCTGACAGGAGGTCACGGGACAGACCCAGGTGCCATGGGTTGATTGACTTGAGATAGATATCCACAAAAAACCACAGACACAGACACACGTAGGCACGCAGCAATGTATACACACACAGTATGAAAAGTAAGAAGAGGTTTTACCCTGACTGGAATTAAAACAGTTGTTAAGATGTTCAAACGCCAAACAGAAACCTTTTGCTAGGAATCAAGTCTGCATTAACCACACGTACTTGTGGTGAACATGGAAACAAACATCCTCTGGCATCCCTGTCAACCCCTTATCAGTGCCGACCTTATTACAGATCAATTCAGAGCTTATTGGTCACGCCGTGCCCTTTTAAATCTCAACGATCATCCTGCAAAGTCCCATATGGACCTGAAAACTCAATTTCCTTGCACAAGAATATGGGTAAACCGTATGGGTTGACACGTATGCTCTGGTAATAAATGCGCTGCCTTTAAAACCGATTGGCCTACATTATCAGAAGCATGTTTATACTCTTAGTTTTTTCGGTAAAGTCATGTAGGTAAAAAAATGAAATTAAAATTAATAAAATAAAATAATAAAAATCACGAGGTTTCGGAGGCAACACAAGTCTCCGTCATCAGGTGGGACCGTCACAGCCAGATTTGCTACGTGACTTTACCGAAAAAACATGAATCCTTGCAGTCACGAAAGCTTCAAATCTAGAATTAGAAGCATGTTTGTTTGTGTGTTCACCACATGTACGGGTGGTCAATGCAGTGACTTGATTCCTTGCAAAAGGTTTCTGTTTGGTGTTAGAACATCTTAACAGCTCCTGTTTCATTGCCGGAAAGGGTAAAACCAATTCTTATTTTTCATACTTCGATAATGGAAAAAAAGGTCACGTGAGATATACACACACCAAGGGTGGCACAGTCGGGTTTTTTACAATCGGGTTTAATTGTCTTTTATATTAAACAAGATCATCTGAGATTGGGAGAAATCCGGTTTAATTTGTTCTAATTGCAGAACCGCACTTCGCCAACTTCTCAACGCCGCCAGTAAGGAACTCACTGGCGGCGCCCACGATTGTGGAGGAGAAGCTCGTGTTCATCAAGACCAACCTGCCCGCCGCATTCAACGACTACCCCGTGCCCGACGGCCCCCCGAGTACGATAGTAGCACCGACGAGGAAGCAGCCTAAGCCTCGGATCAGAGTTTCGTATTCATAAACCAGGCTTTAATTCCCCGAAATCGGGTTCAATTGTATTAAAGAAAAAACTCGATGTCTGCCGCTGGAAAAATCGAGTTTTTTCCACCCATGACACACACACGCAGTCCGTGTTGTCTCAACCGTGGCTGTGTCCGTGTCCCTGGTTGTGCGTCTCGCCGTGTCCGTATGTCCGTGTCCGGACTCCGAGTGGTGAGAGTGCGGCTCTGAGATACACGGAGACACAACAAATCATATGGTTCTTTCGGTAAAGTCACGTAGAAAAGGAATAATAAAATAATAAAAATATAAAACATTAAAAAATTCTCACGACGTTTCGACTGCAACACAAGCAATCATCATCAGGTGTGAAATCCACAGCAAGAAAATGCTATGCAAAGACACGCCACGCAGAGACGCGCCGTGTGGAGACACGCCACGCAGAGACACGCCGTGGGGAGACACGCGGTGTGGAGACACGCCACACAGAGACATGCCGTGTGGAGACACGCCGTGTGGAGACACGCCACGCAGAGACACGCCACGCAGAGACACGCCGTGTGGAGACACGCCACGCAGAGACACCGCCGTGTGGAGACACGCCACGCAGAGAAACGCCGTGTGGAGACACGCCACGCAGAGACACGCCGTGTGGAGACACGCCACGCAGAGACACGCCACGCGGAGACACGCCACGCAGAGACACGCCACGCAGAGACACGCCACGCAGAGACACGCCACGCAGAGACACGCCACGCAGAGACACGCCACGCAGAGACACGCCACGCAGAGACACGCCACGCAGAGACACGCCGTGTGGAGACACGCCACGCAGAGACACGCCGTGTGGAGACACGCCACGCAGAGACACGCTGTGTGGAGACACGCCACGCGGAGACACGCCACGCGGAGACACGCCACGAGGAGACACGCCACGCAGAGACACGCCACGCAGAGACACGCCACGCGGAGACACGCCGTGTGGAGACACGCCACACAAAGACACGCCACGCGGAGACACGCCACGTGGAGACACGCCACGCGGAGACACGCCACGCAGAGACACGCGGAGACACGCCACGCAGAGACACGCCACGCAGAGACACGCCACGCAGAGACACGCCACGCAGAGACACGCCACGCAGAGACACGCCACGCAGAGACACGCCGTGTGGAGACACGCCGTGTGGAGACACGCCACGCAGAGACACGCCGTGTGGAGACACGCCACGCAGAGACACGCCACGCAGAGACACGCCACGCAGAGACACGCCGTGTGGAGGCAGGCCACTCGGGTGCTGCGGTCACCGATGGCGTGGGGGATGAGGTGGAGGAAGGCGTCTCCGAGGAGTCCCCCCGAGGCGAAGCTGAGCAGCGTGTGCAGCAGCGAGGAGCGACGCGCCGAGTCCGAGTCGAGCGGCACCAGGAAGAGTATGAGGAACGGCGCGGCGGAGATCAGCAGCGTGGCGCCCAGGGCCTGCGGGGAGACATGGTGAGACACGGGGACACGGTGAGACACGGGGACACGGTGAGACACGGGGACACGGTGAGACGCGGGGACACGGTGAGACACGATGAGACACGGGGACACGGTGAGACACGGTGAGACACGGTGAGACACGGTGAGACACGGTGAGACACGGTGAGACACGGGGACACGACACGGATACACACGACGGCATGGTGAGACACGGGGACACGGTGAGACACGGGGACACGGTGAGACACGGGGACACGGTGAGACGCGGGGACACGCTGAGACGCGGGGACACGGTGAGACGATGAGACACGGGGACACGGTGAGACACGGTGAGACACGGTGAGACACGGTGAGACACGGGGACACGACACGGATACACACGACGGCATGGTGAGACACGGGGACACGGTGAGACACGGTGACATGGTGAGACACGGTGACATGGTGAGACACGGTGAGACACGGGGACATGGTAAGAGACATGGATACACACGACGGCACGGTGAGACATGGGAACATGGTGAGACACGGAGACACAGTAAGATACGGAGACAGTGAGACAAGGGGGGAAGATACGGAAACACGGCGGCACGGTGAGATACCGGGACATGGTAAGAGACATGGAATCACACGGCGGCACGGTGAGACATGGGGACATGGCGAGACACCGGGGCATGGTGAGACGTGGGGACACAGCGAGATACGGGGAGAAGACACGGAAACACATGGCGACACGGTGAGACATGGTGACACATTGAGACACCGCGACACGATGAGACACGGGGACACAGTGAGACACGGAAACACGGCGGCATGGTGAGACACGGGGAGACATGGGGGTGGGGACAGGCAGCAGAAGCGCCGGGACTTGAGGAAGTAAAAAAAGAGCAAGGGACACGTGGAGACGGGAGACACGTGTAACTACGGAGGGACACCTGGAGGCACGGACTAATCTATACATATATGAACTTCCTTCGCGCAATACGCAGCCACCCGTTCTAATCGGAGGCACACGAGGAGAGAGAGAGAGGGAGACGTGGAAGGTGCACGTGGAGACGCTGAACACAGAGGGACACGTGGGGACACGGAGAGACACGTGGGGACACGGAGAGACACGTCAGCACTCCGGCTGCCATGGGG